ACAGCATGTCTGTATATTTATTTAAATTTATGTAGCCCGGGGGGCTCAGTCAGTTGAGCATCTGACTCTTGATTTTGGCTCAGGTCATGATCTCGGAGTCATGGGATCAAGTCCTGTGTCTGGCTCCCAAGCTCCGTGTGGAGTTTGCGCGAGATTCTCTCTCTCCCTCTGCCTCTGTTCGTACCCCTGCTCACGCTCTCTCAAAATAAATAAATAAACTCTTTAAAAAAAAAAACTTCTGTAATCTGTATGCACATATATACATATGTAATACATGTGTCTCTTGCACACATATATGTCTCCTATGTATATATGCCACATATATATATATACGTTTACATCTGATTGGGTGATGCAGTTTCTCAAGATTCACCTGGTAATCGTGACTTTTTGTAAGTATACATTCAACAGGAGAGGCGCGTGCAGTTACTATAAATTGCTCTGCGGCACTCTGGATGCTCACAAAGGTGATGCATCACTAAGGGAGACACGCCGTGTTCAGTGGGAGTGCTGTGATGAGCATGGACGCTGCCTGGCTCCCAGCCCTCATCCCCCACCCCTAACAAAGATGGGCTGGCATTGCTGAGACACCTACCCTGTTTACAGATCGTCTTTCTACACAGTTAGACAGTCTTTCTTCAAGCAGAACCTACCTATTTGGGGGAAAAAAGGCTGAAACACTGTAAGGGAAAAACCAGTGAATTCATTGAGAGAAAGGTCCTGAAAACGTGTGTTTTCTGTCCTGGGGTGAGGGCCATGTGCCCTTGAGCCCAAGTGGGCCTTGGTCTCAAAGCTCTTTTAATGAGTCAGCAACTCTGCCTCCCAGCTATCAATTCAAATAAGAATTGCTACGAAGTCAAGGACAGGTTGACCCGCCTGTGGGATCGCAGGCACACATGGGTCGTTTTAAGGTTCAGGTGGTATTACCAAAATGTAGATAGATGACTGTCATTATCAACAAGAGAAGCGTGTGGTGGCAGGCTGTTGGCAGCCTTGGAAATGAGCACTATGACTTCTTGGAAAACCAGAATTCATTGAATTTCCTTAAGCCACTTTCAAGGTACAGAAATGGGATAAAAGAAAGTATTCTTAGATGAGAAAAGGAAACTCAAAGATATTTAGGTAAGTTGATTTATAAGACAAACCTATTCCAGAATCTCCGGAAGGGACATCTGCATCGTGCGTGTACTTTAAATAAAACAAGCGATCCCAAGCAGTCCTTCTGGCACATTTAGATAACCAGTGAAACAGCCACGTTTGTAGCCGTGATCGATGACGCGATCCACCAGGAGATTTTCCGCAGGAGAATTTGGGTCTTAGGCTCATCACCAGCAGGAGACTGATGATGACAGAGCTTGGCCCTCGGGGTCATTTCCTTTCATTCTTAATTTTGACTCTCTGATTTCTACGTTTATCTGCTGCTCACAAGCTAAGTCCCTCTACTTTCTTCTATCTAATACGGTCTACATTCTGTTTTGTCTGCACTTACCCCGATTTCTCTTAAAAAAACATTATTTCAGATGCATTTATTTGTTTAGGATTCACATCCAGCCTGCTTCTAGAATTGGTTGAAGCAGTCTGTGGGTTAAACATGAGGGGGCTTTTAAGGGAGTGAGAACGAGAAAGCTCTGAGACGCACTGAGCCAGACTTTGGGCAAAGGAGTTCAGCTCTTGACAGTTAAGAAGAAACACAGAAGTATGCCCGCCTCCAAAGGTTCCTCTTACAAGACGCGAGGAGGGAGCATGCCTTGTCCTCGTCCCACTGGTGATAATGCAAACCTCCTCCTCGGTCCTCCCCTCCTCCCCTCCTCCCCCAGTGCATCCCAGCGTGCAGACTGGACTCACCTAGAACATGACTCTGGTCAGGTCCCATATGTCACAAGCAACCCTGGGGTCCACAGGGTTGCGTCTGTCCTCTGTCCTTGAGAAAAAGACTGTATGGGCCCCCTTATCTGATCGTCCCGATCCCTGAACTCTTCCTCTATCCTGCCGTGCAATCTCACTGAGCTGGGGAAGCTGCCGGGTGGTCCACGGGCACGTGACCCTTTTCAGACGGTAGAGCCCCCGTGTGTGTTCTCACGTGGTCCTGGTTACTGGAACAGGCTTGTCACAATTCTCTGTTCCAATTGAAATATCATTGTGCCCTCCCTTGTTTCCTTTTTTCCAAGATTAAAAAAAAAAATTGAGTTGGATTTGTCCTGCCTCTCTGGTACACTCCTGCATCCTGGTGCTCACCCTCCCTAACCATCCTTCCAGTTCTTCATCAAGTTTGTGATGGGCCCTCAGGAAAGTTAATGACCTCCGGTCTTATTTTCAGTTTGTCTTTCTTTTGGGAGATGAAGATAAACATTTTGTTATCTCGATTGGTTCCCTTCCCGTAATTGATGAGAGGCACTGGCTTTCTCTCCCCCAGGTCTGTAGACGTCATCTTTCAGTTGGGATCTTGGAAAAACTTACCCTTGGCTGTGTTCATGGATATAGGCTTGCTTCCAGCACGTTTCTCCTTTGTGTCAGTCTCTTGCTTTAAAACGACAACAAAAGAGTTCCTCTATGTCTTAGACTCCTTCTTGAAGGAGTTCTAAAAGCACAACAGAAAACAAGCAAAATCCCCGCTTCTCCCACTGTTTGTCATTTCCCATCTCCTATCGATTACAGTGTCATTTCTGCGTCTGTTTTCTATGTTAAGGCATCAGGCCCTCTCAGCTCCCCCTGTGCTCCAAGTTGTCTCTTCGGAGTACCCCTCAGGCATGCGGAGGCCTCAGGCTTTCACCCCCGCCTTTATCCTGTCTTTGAGACCCCTGTGCCCCCATCCTCCCTGACATGGCCGGGCCACCTCGTCCCTCCTCTGTGTCCTCCCTGTGCTCCCTGAGCTTGGGAAGAGATAACCATGTGGCTCTTTGAAGTCTTGTTTTGTTCTTTCTCTTTCAGAACTCTCTGCCCTTTCACTAGTCATAAAAACAAAGCAGGCCACAACAAAACAAGCCTCCTCCCCATCTGGCGTACCTTTCTCAGCTACCCAGTACACTGTTGACATTCATTTCTCCATTCTCCTGATATCGAACTGAGAGCTTTCATTCCCTTTGTTGTTTTTTTTTTCTCGAAGTGTGTTCAGATTAGCAGTCAGTGATAATTTGTTACTATACTTGCTAGTTATGGTATTGGGAGAATTATCTGATATCTTGACATTTGACTTCATATTTAGAAAGCAGATCCCCAGACTTAGCTCTTTTCATCATCCTCATGGCCAGGCCAACAAGCAGACTGAGTTATGGCAAATCAGCATGGCATGGAGATTGGGGCTCCATTCGACTGAAGAGAACATTGCCGAACGCAGAGCTTCTTATGCAGGGCAGCGTGCGATTTGCACCATTGTGTATCATGAGCTGTCGGCTCTGTCCACTCGGTTGGCTCCTCACCACATCCTGTTGGCTCACTGCGTTCTGGCTGTGCACGTCCACACCCCCCCACCCGGTCTGGGCACTAAAGGACATGGGACCCAATTAAGGAAGTGGTTCCCTTGTCTGTCTCCGGAACTGTAATCTCCCTATCTCAAGTTTACCTTCTACACTGAGTGGTCCTTCAACATTGGGTCAGGTCAGACTTCATGCAATGAAAACAAATAGCAAGTCCCTTCACATTTGGAGTAAAATTCAAAATTCACTAGGCACAGCCGGCCCCTGTCTGACTGTGCAGCGGATGTGTGACCTCTTCCATACACCACGGAAGCCCCTCACTCTTAACCACAGCACCTCGGCACAGTCCGCTCCCCCGACCTGGGGTGTCTTTTTCTTCCTTTTTAGGTCATTGAATCCTGTGAGTATCAGATGGCGCTTCCTGCAGGAAGCTTCACTAAATTCTATCCTTCTTGTATTTTTTTAAAAGATTTTATTTATTTATTTGACAAGAGAGAGCAGCAGAGGGAGAGGGAGAAGGAGACTCCCCGCTGAGCAGGGATCCTGATGCGTGACTCGATCCCAGGACCCCGGGATCAGCAACTGACCCGAAGGCAGACGCTTAGCTGACTGAGCCACCCAGGCGCCCCTCTATCCTTCCTTTAAAACTTACATTAGATGTCACCTCCTGGGAGGCCTTTCTCCAACTCTTCCCTTCCCCTTCCCTCCCGAGGTAGTAATATTCTGTTCCCTGGACAACTCCATAGTAGCTGTCATGGCCCTGTATTTTCATTTTCTGCTGAATGCCTAGATTGTGACCTCTAGCACAATGTCTACCAAAGAATATCTAATCTGTTAATGCTTGCTGAATGAATGAAGAGCTTTCTGGCTTAGAAGTCCATGCACTATGATGACAGTGCCCCAGATTTTCTATGCATGCTTTGCAAGCACAAAACATATTCAACTCTGGGTCATCACTCAGCATGGGGTCTCATCCCACATGTTCTGGACATTCTTTCCTTATTAGTTACATTCTTGCTTCTCCATCAAAAATCAAAAATGTGTATAGATTCTCACTATGTATGGAATGGCACTTTGAAAACTTTGTGTAAAACTTGTTCCAATTTGTATACAGAGTTTCACATGTGACCCTTGCATTTGGAGAAGCATTTGTAACATTGTTTTTCAAAGTTCTGGAACGTTTTCTAAGACAATTTTTCATGAGTGGCATCCAGTAGTTTCCTTTTATTCGTTCTCCTCACTAACAGATATCAAAGGCGATTTCGGGTTTGCTCTGTTAACAGGTGCAATTCAAAATGAAACCACATTCATCAAAAAAAAAAAAGATACATGCTTTGAGATTTTAATTGAATGTGTATATTTATCTTCATAAATGTTTTCTACCGAACAAGTGTGCAGATAGAGGTCAGATTATTTAAGTTTTATCGTTGTTTGGGGGTCAATATCTAAGAGATTTTTTGTTTTTGTTTTTAGTGGTCAATTGCCATATAATTTATTAGCCAGTCAAAATATATTCAGATTTGCCATTCCTCTTGTGTTCAGGCCTGTTAACATGTTTCGTGTGATTCTTTTTTTTTCCCCCTCCAGGAGGAATGTCAGAACTACATCCGGGTGCTTTTGGTGGGTGGTGACCGGTTATTTACCTGTGGGACCAACGCTTTCACGCCTGTCTGCACCAATCGCACGGTAGGTCTTCGTCTTTAGCCTCGACAGAGTTTAGTACCAGGAAGGTCCAAACGTTCTGTTAAAGCTGTAGTTTTACATGTATTTCCGTTCTCTAAGGAGCTGCTTTTTAAATCAAAGAAAAAGTCTTTTTTTCAAATAGAAAAAATATTTCATGTATTGATTTATTACTAATCACACTGCCTAGAATATAAAGAGCTGGAAGTAACGATAGCTTGTTGAATTAAATTTCAATATGTTTCCAAACTGTTTCTGCCAGCTTTTCTCCACCAGTGATCCTAAACACTAATCCTCAACATACTCTTCATTTATCCTGGTTTACTATAGAGATCCTGAGAAGCATTAAATGGCCTTAAAATCATAGTCCAAATGACGAAAATATAATTGACCAATTGGATAAGAGCAATGTCAGAAAAATGAAAGCAAGCCAACAAATGAAGCCCAAGCCCTGGGCAAAGTGTTGGTCCAACCTGTCCTCTTTGTTTTTCTTTTTCTTTTAAAGATTTTATTTATTTATTTGACAGACAGAGACACAGCGAGAGAGGGAACACAAGCAGGGGGAGGGGGAGTGGGAGAGGGAGCAGCAGGCTTCCCGCCGAGCAGGGAGCCCGATGCGGGGCTCGATCCCAGGACCCTGGGATCACGACCTGAGCCGAAGGCAGACGCTTAACGACTGAGCCACCCAGGCGCCCTTTTCTTTTTCTTTTAAACCTGTCCTTATTGGCAGAGGACGCTTCAGCGCCTGCGTCTTACACCCGTAGGTCCGTGGGGCGTCCGAGCACATGTGCAGCCTTCCTAATTTGAGATAGGAGTTTGATGTCCCGCAGGGAACATGATGAAGAAATATCGTTATGTTAATTTCCTGGTTACCTGACTTCTCTCAAAGCCTGACTTTATCATCTGCAATATTTTCAAACTAGCATCCAGTTACTGGAAATAGAAGAAGAACAAGGGGGAGGATGTCACGCCCTGTTCTCCAAGCTTTGCACCGACTCGGGTGGTGGTGATCTACCCCAGGTTGTGTTTATCCTTTGGGTGCCTGTTGTATTAAAACAAGAGTTTGAGATAGAAAGAATTTAAGTAACTTGCCCGGAGCTAAACCTCTGCCGGCAGAACGAGCAGTGTGTGTGGGTCCCCTGTCTAGCCCTTGTGCTCTGCTACCACCCAAGTCAGGATGAAGAAGCCAGTGGAACTTTTCTCGTTCAAGGATGGGTTGGGAAACCAGCAACTGAGAAGCTGGGTTCACACCAGATGCCTGCAAGACCCCGAGTTGGCTGTCTGAAAACTGACAAAATAAAGTGTTGGAAATTTGGGCTACACAGTCCGAAAGAGCACTTATCCTCATCTGTGAGCAGAGTTTGGAGCTATTCATAGCATTTTAATTCGCTTAGGGTGATAAAATTGCACAGAATCTATATTGTGGTTTGTGTTTCTCTAAATATTGAAGTTTTCTCTATTGACGTGGAAAGATCTGCAGTACCCATGCATCGTCAATGGGACCCATGTACAATCATCTTGTTTCTTTTCTTTTTCTTTTTCTTTTTTTTTTTGGCGAGAGTTTAATAGTGTGAGGTCCTGCAGCTCTGAAGGGAGGATGAGGGAGATGGTTGGTGGATCCTCCATCCAAGTCCACCGCAGGGTGTTTTCATCAAAGTTGGAGTGCACACATCTGTCATGTCTTACCCTGAGCCCCAGAGAGTTTATTGCACCTGCGTCATTTTTGGGTCAGGCCGACACTGTTCCAGGGCTTTCCTGGAGGGTAATCGGTTTCGTCTCTCTTGTTCTCCCGCACAGTTGAATAACCTGACCGAGATCCATGATCAGATCAGCGGTATGGCCCGCTGCCCCTACAGTCCCCAGCACAACTCCACGGCTCTTCTCACGGCCGGTGGGGAGCTGTACGCCGCTACGGCCATGGATTTTCCCGGACGGGATCCTGCCATTTACCGGAGCCTGGGCGTCTTACCTCCCCTCCGCACGGCGCAGTACAACTCCAAATGGCTCAACGGTGAGTCCTCCCGCCACCGCCCGTGCCCCACCTCGTTTGTCTGTCATGCCTGGTCGCTTGTGCTCAAAAGCAAGCTGCCGCCACTTCCGAAGAAAAACAATTTCCTCATTTTCTCAGGAAATTAAAATGTCACTTGTTTTGTTCGTCAGTGTGGAAGGGCATCTGCGCGGGGCTCTTTCGGAGCAGAAGGGGAAGAGATATCGCCAATGCTGGAGGCCAGGACAACAGGGCTAATGTTGACATGACCATACGTCGAACTTAGGCTGTTCTTTACGCTAGTGTTTGAAGTTCAGGAAATTTGATGTCATATCAGAGATATCTGTAGATTCATGTGCATTCTTTCTTAACTTCTCATTATATATCTAAAAGCAGGAAATTACTAGCATTTCATGAAATGTGCAGACACTGGGTAAGAGAATGGGTTTGGCCACAGGTAGCTCCAGAGAGCTTGATCGGTTTAAAAAAGTATCGAGTCACATAACCAGAGCATTGCGGTATGCGTCTTTGGGGTTAGTTCCTTTGACGGTGTGAGCGTCAGTGAGCTCTGTCACTGGTCTCCCTGCCATCCACGTTGTGGCAGTGTGGTCCTCAGACTGACTTCGCGGGGCATGCAGAGTGGCTGATGCAATTTCAGGCCCAGCATCCAGGTGTGACAATATGCAGCAGCAGGAGAAGCCGGATTCCTTGTGTCTCCCCAGAAGACTTAAGTCTTGGACTAGAAGTTGGTCATGTGCTCACTAAGCAGTCAGAATAGAGGTTGGCTTTGTTCAATGTCCTGAGTGAGGGGTGCCAACTGAAACTGAGCCCTCTGTATGTGTGTATGTTCACGTGTGAATGTGCTTGCACACACACACGGTGTTATGGATACCTACGTGCATCACATGTCATCCCTTTATTTGAAAGCTTGCACAAAGATGAAATCTTGAAATTGCCCTTATACTATTTATTATTTTGAGCTTTCAAGTTCTACAAAGATTTACTGGCCTTCTGTCAAGTACAAGCTAATTATGTAGATGAGAATTTCTCACCCTCAGCACTCCTGACATTTTGGAAAAGATAATTCTTTGATGTGTGTGTGGTGCGGGGCTATCCTGGTTATCATAGGATGCTTAGCAGTATCTCTAGCCGATCTATACTCACTAGATGCAGTAGCATCCCCCTCTACCTAGTTGTGACAATAAAAACATTTCCAGAAGTTTCCAAACGTCTCCTGGGGGAGAAAATGCCTCTGGTTGAGAAGGACTGGCTTAGGCTCATTATTTATGCATATTTATTCCTG